CACACACACACACACACACCTCTTTCTTCTTGAAACGGACCCAAGGCGGCGGCTGACCCCCTTGGAAGGCGACATTTAAAGCTGAAAACCATTGAGTATACAAGGGAGGTTGGTATCATTAAAAGACAGCATTGAAAGCTGGTTTTTTGTTGTTTGTTTTGTTTTGCTTTTTAGGCATCCTTAAGTCCGGAGAGACTAGGGTAACGTGCTCTGAATAGTGGACTTGGAACAGCGTCTAGTGTGGCTGAGAAGGCCAATTCGAGAGTGATCATCCCTTCTGCACTGGAGACAAATACAGTCTGTCCCCTGTCCAGCTCCCTGGTTTTGCTCGTTTCGGGACTGCCTCTTTGCCTCGGCCTGCTGGACAAGGTTCTCTTCAAAATGGGAGAGGCCGTGATTCACCACCTGCCTCCAGGCTGAACGCTCAGACGTCAAGGTTTCCCATCTGTTGAGGTCCATTCCTAAGGCCATCAGATCCCACTTGCAGTTTTCCTTGTATCACAGCTGGGGTTTCCCTCTGGGGCGCTTTCCCTGCACTAATTCTCCATACAGCAGATCTTTTGGAATCCGACCATCAGCCATTCTCATGACGTGCCCAAGCCAACGTAGACGTCGCTGTTTCAGTAATGTATACATGCTGAAAATTCCAGCTCATTCTAGGACTACTCTACAAATTCAAATTCCGTGCCTCCCAAGTGTTTGTTTGTTTGTTTGTTTTTTGGCAACTCGAAGCAAAGTTTGCAAGTCAAGGCAGTATTTTTCTATCATAGCAGTTTGTAAGTCAAAATGTCCTGCCAGGTGACCCAGAATTTGTGTCGGAGGCAACGCAAATGGACCGTGTTCAGCTTCCTCTCCTGCCGTGCACAAAGGGTCCAGGACTCACTGCAGGACAGGAGTGTGCTCAGGACACAGGCTCTATAGACCCGGATCTTGGTATATGTCGTCAGCTTCTTATTGAGCCATACTCTCTTTGTGAGTCTAGAGAACATGGTGGCTGCTTTGCCAATGCGTTTATCCAGCTCGACATCCAGGGAGGGAGTGTCAGAGATGGTTGAGCCAAGGTACACAAAGTCATGAACAACCTGAAATTGAAAGCTAAGAAGCATGAATATAAAGAGGCACTTTATACCATTAAAAGACTATTGTTCTTAAAGCAGAGAAGCACAATACAAACATTTTTTTAAAATGCTGCTCTGAGAAATGGAAAACACAAAAATGGAAAACACAAGTAGTTATAAAAACCTAGTCAAAGCAGCCATGCATAGCAATTGATCTAAACATCACACACAAGTCGCTGGTTAACGGAGGGAAGGCTTGCCTGAAGAGAAAGGTCCTCTTGGCCTGCTTGCAGAGGGACAGCCAAGAGGGGGCCCAGCCTGGCCTCCAGTGGCAGGGAGTCCCAACGTCTCTGGGAGCAGCCGCGGAGAAGTCCCTCCCCCGGATCCCCCACCAAACATACCTGTGGAGGTGGAGGGATGGAGAGAAAGGCCTCCTCTGGTGATCTTGACACCCGAGCAGGCTCATAAAGGGAGACGTGGTCCCTGTTTATGGCTTTAGAGGTTAACAATAGCCCTTTGAATTGTGCCCGGAAAGGGATCGGCAGGCCGGTGGAGCTGCTGTCAAAAGGGGGTGATGGGATCGCTGTAAACAGACCCAGCGAACAATCTGGAGAGCGTTTTATAGGAGTCCGGCTGAGATCTAACATCTTTCACTGTGGCCAGATCGGATTTCTCCAGGAATGGACGCATCCGGCGCACTCGTTTTCACTGTGCAAAGGCACTCCTTTGGTTGGTGGCGTGATCCCTTGCATTCCAGTCCCCGGTGGGCAACCTGGCATTTTTGGACACACACACACACCCACACACGAGTTTTTCGAGCCCCGGAGGAGGGCAGCGGTTCCCCTCCCGGTCCGCCCCGCCGGGTTCTCCCCTTTGCGGGGCTCCAGGAATAAAACCGGGGCCAAAACATATGGAGGCGCCTCTGGGCTCCTTCCCGGCCCCGATCCGACCCGCTCGGTGGGGTGGGGACGGAGGCAGCGATGTAAGCGCGCGCGCGAGGTCCGCGGGGCTCCAGCGCGGCCGCTCCGAAGCCTGCCTTGGGAGCGAAGGCTGCCTCTCCCGAGTCAACGCGCGGTCCAGAGGAGGCACGGACCTCCCTCCGTGTAAGGCGGCCCCAAGGGGGCAGGAGAAGCCGGCGGACTCCGGGCGTGGAGCGAACGGCGCCCGCCGCGGAGAGTCACCGAAGGCGTCGCCGGGCCAGGCGCGGAAGGAACCCGGAGGGCTCCGGGGGAAAAGCCTCCTCGGCCCTCCAGGGCGCCGCTTCCAGACGTGCCCGAGCCTCCACACGCGCCCACCCGGGGCCCAGATCCCCGTTGCCCTCCTCTTGCATCTCCGG